AAAAAATGACGCAATTGATTTTGTAACTCCGGCATCCAATGAGGATTTTACTATTTTGATAAAACGATAGTAAATATTGGAGGAATCAAGGTCTTTGGATATTTTTGCAATTTTTGTTGAAGCACCGGTAGAAAAAAAAAGGAATTTTATATTTTATGATAGAACTTGAAGATAAAAACGCGAGTCGCTGTTACTGCGAGAATAAAAATGCCTCAGAGTGTATTAATCTGAACAGAACTTCTTTCAATTTCAACTGAACTACAACTGAACTACAACCGTTTCTAAAATGGAGAACATCGCGTATTTTTTTATTCTCGGTATTTTCTGTATCATCAATACGCCGGTTTCTGGCCAAATACTTGGAGATGATAGATCAATTTGCTTGGAGAAAGGTATGAAAATTTTGAATTTTTTGAAAATTCGTTTCATGTTTCTATTGAATTTTAACGGTCTTCAATTAATATTCTTGTCAAGAATAGTGCATCGACTGATTTTTAGAATTGAAAAGCAATTTTATTTTTCTTTAAAGAATTTCATTTGTTTTAATTCAAGGTGTGGATCCTTCAGAAACATACGAGTGCATTTTGAGAAGTCCTGAAATTGTAAGGAGTTTATATTTTGAATTGTTTCGCAATACGCATAATTACATTGATTATAGAAAATTAATAAATTAATTTCTATTTGTCAATAGCTGACTGAAGATGGGACCGTTGATTTGCTTTTATTGAGGCGAATATACGAAGAAGGAGAAACAAATGAGAACATATCTAGGTTCATCGACCACATTCAGGTTCGCGTGGAAAGTGAGTATTTTTTTCGTGACGTTGATGAATTAAAAGGAATAATTATGCTACTTTTAATTTTTTTAAATGCAGTAAAAAGTTGAGATTGGAGTAATAAAAATTCTTAAATTTTTATTAAAATGAGAACTCAAAAATTCCCTGAATTCTTGTTGCAGATAAAAAATTCAGTTCTGTGCGGGAGCTAGTTCAAGCACTAGTCGTGGCCTGGACGGAGTACCCGAGATTACCATTGCTTTCATTGTAATAAGATGGCCCATGGTTTCCCTTGGTCACCAAAAGAATTTCTACATGGCACCCCAAAATTATAAAGAATACTCCAATAGGGTATATGTCGCAAATATAAAACTCAGAAAATAATAATAAATTTTTGTTGGATATCCCCAAATAATTGTCTTTTTACGAAACAAAATATTGAAAATTCCTAAACCACTGCGGAAGTTTGAATGTACGCGGGAAAAATAATGTCTTGAGACACAAAAGTAATAAATTTATTATCA